GCCGGTTCAATCGAGCCAAACGGCTAATTTTTAATTCTTTTTTTAAAAAAAGGGACAACTGTCAGATATTTAAAATTTAGCCGTTGGACTGCATTTTTAGCCGTTTGGCACTTTCAAAAATAGCCATTTGGCTTCCAAACTTTGTTGTAACCCCAAACTTTTTATAATTACACTTTTTCCCTATTCTCAACTATAAATACCCCCTCATTCTTTCATTTTTACTCACAAATTCTTCAATCTCTCTCATTTCTCAAACTCAAATTGAAGTATTCAAGTCTTCAAGTCTTCACTCATCTCTCATTTCTCAAACTCCAATTCTTAATTCAAGTTAAATCATGCCCGGTGATTCTAGATTGCACCCATTTATTTTGGAACACTTTAATGTGGTAGAAGAAAATGAAGAAGTTTACATAATAAAGTGCAAGAACTGTGGTCTAGTCTACACTCGTCGTCGAAAAGAGGGCACAAGCTCTTTAAGGAGGCATATAAAGAGTTGTCTTGCGCGTTCTCCAGACATTCGTATTTAAGATTTTAAGTTGATTTGAGATAATTTGTGTTATTTTAAAATTATTAGACGTATTATGCTTAATGTTCTAGTTTGTTAGATTAATTTGAAATATTATATTGAAGGTATTGAAATTTAATTTGAAGTATTAAATGTAAACTTTAATTTGAACTATATCTATAGCTTATATATTATATAAGGCAATATATAATTATATATACATATAGCTATATATAAGCAATTTATATTAGTATATACATATATAGTTTACAAGAAATTGTCTTAGATAAAAAAAATAGCTCGGAACGAAAAGCCCGTTTAAGCCTGCGGGTCCGGCCATTTAGCCCGGGACCATGTGGGCTTAGGACTGCAGTGGGTTGGTTCTACTAATTTGGCCCGTTTGGCCCGGGACCACCAAAGCCCATGCCCGTTTGGCCCGTTTAGGCCCGGGCCCGGACCACAATACGGCCTTAACGTGATATGATGATATCTCTGTAGTGTCATTAGAATTTTTAATCTTTAAGGGAGTATTCGCAGAAGAAGGATTTCTTCTGTGGTGTTTCTAGTATTTTCAGAACTTTCGAGGACATAAAGCTAAATTTCTAATTCTCGAATTTTGCCTTTTATAAGTAGGCTAGCTCCTTCGATTCACTGCTTTTTTAGTAGGTGATCTTGTCTGAAAGATGTCAGGAGAAGAAGAAGAAAATGCTGCTGAGCTCAAAATCGGTGATGGTAAATAATCAGCTTCTTCTAACGCACTTTATAAATCGGTATCATTGTAGTATGAACAGCTTAATTATCTGCAAAATTGAGTTTTAATACTTATATCGTTCTTTTGTTTTCTAGTTGAATTTAGAGTTGAAGTTTTATGTTTTCTGTTTCGAAAATTTATTTCTTCTATTTAAATTTGTACATTATGCAATACTCACTTCTGGTTTTAGGTAGCTTACACTGTATTTTGATAGCTTATTGTCGATTTCTTGATGCAGCCCATTAAAAAAAGATCTCCCCNAGGTTACTATATGGTGCATGTGATTCTTTCTATTGGTTTAAATGTTCATGAGAAAATACTTGATATTACAATTTGTTTTTATTTGGCAAAAGAAACAGGCTGCTTTTTTTTTACATAGATGCTGATCATTAATGCTAGCTTCACTATATGCCTCATTTAAACTTTTTAGCATCCATATTCTGATGAGCCTCTTAAAAGCATTACCTACTTGTTAGTTACTCTCTGAAATTGTTTTCTATAAGTTTGGTGATGAAATTATCTGTTCGGGGAATAGAGCCTATTTTTGAGGCATGAAGTGGAGGAAATTATATTAGTACTGCATTCGTCTTTTTCTCTGAGAAATGTGAAATTTAGGAGGAATACAAGATCGAGAGGAGGGGAGGCACTCCTTTAGGTGGATTAGCCAGTCTTTTACGTTAGTCTTTCTATACCAGTATACTGAATCCCACCCAGACAGTGTGAGGCAGTACGGTTCTGAAGGAGGTCAGTTTTTCTAATTTGACAGCTACTAGGAGTGCCATATTTACGGATGAGAATTTTAGGAAGCGAAGAGGAATGCTTGTCAGTTGGTGTGTCTTGTGCAAAGAAATGGGAGAGGATGTTGAAGATTCTCATCCGTGGTGAACGGAACTTGTGCTGAATCCTTTTGGCCATTGCTAGGTAATGCCAAATTCTGTGGAGGCATTATTTGGGCCCTGAAAGCAGAAGAGGAGTGAGGAGGAGAACTTGGGAAATCACTCCTTGAGCAGTTGTGTGGACCACGTGAACATAAAGAGTTTGAGTTGACATGAAGATACTCTGCTAAGTATGAAGATAATTTTTCTGAATCCATTTCAATATTAAATCCTAAAGTTATAAGCTAAAGAACAAATTCTCCGTTCACATTTTCATTCTGCGAAGCCGGATGGAAGTGGTTAATTGTGTGCCCCCACCCTTTGTTAGCCAATCACTGAGAAGAATATTGGCCCTTCACCCCCCACCCCACCCCACATCCCTCCAGCTTTACTCCAGCTATTCATGGTAGAAATCGTTTAAACTCTGTAGTCTTTCTCCTGCTTGTAAGCATACAAACAGCATATCTGTTGATGAAGTTCAATAAAAAAATTTGTTACTTTGGTTTCAGAATTTTTGAAGGCGAAATGTCTAATGAATTGTGAAGTCGCGTTGATTCTTGAACACAAGTACGAGCAGCTTCAACAGATGTCTGAAGATCCAACGAATCAGATTTCACAGTATGTGTATAAATCTAGATGCCCAGGATATGTCAGTAAATGCTCAGACTTTGCCATGCTTCAGTAGATTCTTTAAAATGCAAACTGGATTATCTGATATGAAATAGTTGGTATTCTGTGCTTGGCTGAGATTCCTATAGAATCATTTTTTGGTGTAGGTTCTTTACTCTTTTGGTATACCTCTTGTATCGTTTTCCCCCACACATCAGTAAAAGTATTAGTATTTCATAAGAGAATGGGTAATCTGCTCCTTTCACAATGTGTCTGTGATAAGTTGTAAATGTCCTCCTTCATATCACCGTTAACAACCACTTTGTGGAATTTTCATGTTCATATTTAAGGCAAAATGCAATGAGATTTTCTTAAGGGAAACTATGCTGCCCTGATATTGAAATATGCTCTCTCTCTGTCTCTCCCTCTCCCCCGCTTAGAAAGGAAGCAGGAGTCTAACGAAGTGGTTTACGTTTTCGACATCTAAATATGTGTGGAGAGATAATATGTGCTTAGCTATTACGTTCTCAAGTTTGGTTAATTGGTTACCCTTGTCGTCTAGGGTATTTGAAAAGTCACTGCAATATGTGAAGCGTTTCAGTCGGTACAAGAACCCTGATGCTGTTAGACAAGCTCGAGAGTATCCTCCTACCTGTGGCTTATAGTGAAAAACTTCAGTATATCTCTTTTTGACATTCATGCATATGTGAAAATACAAGAACCAGTCCTTTCATAGAATGTAAACCTTAACCTCAATTCAGAATCCTTAGTAGGTATCCACTTGCTGAATTCGAGGTAAGTATCTGTCCTTTTTAATTTTTTTAAATTACTTTATCCTTGTATTTCTGTTTTTATCTTCATTGAAACTGTAGTTTATAATTTTGATATTGTGCAGCTCTGTGTTCTGGGGAATCTTTGCCCCGAGACTGTTGAGGAAGGTATCGCCATGGTCCCATCCATCAAGGTACTCACGTGTCATTCTATTCAACGTTAGTAGATTTTTGGTCAATCTATCAAGCAAGATAAAACAATACTCTTTCTCTCTGTGCCTCCACTGCCTGGTTTTGTTACCCAATCTATTTCTGAACTATTGCCTTTAGCTTTTACTGAAGAGTGAAGACCAGGATCATTGTTTAAAACTCAATCAACATGGCCAAGCATGACAGATAATTGAGCTAGAAATAATGACCAGCTGATTCAAATTTGTCATCATGTTTATTTAAGCCAGACAGCTTGTCCATATAATGTGTTTTTGGATAAGTAACTAGTTTATATATATATTATTTGACATGAGAGAAAGTCTACATAAAGGTGTATATACACCTCTTATACATTGTTATACAGTGTATTTATGTTACCTTATGTGTTCATTATACAATATATAAGTATTGCATAAAGGTGTACAAGCAATGTGTGTGTGTGTGTGTGTGTGTATATATATATATATATATAAATTAGTATTTGACATGAGATGTGTGAAGTTTAAGAAAAAAGGATCACGACAAGGACTTGGAGGTGTTATTAAGCCATGTCAAATCACTACAAATCTCCGTTTGTTGTCTTAAACATTTTGGGAGTGGTTTCCATGGTGTATTTCATTGCCTAGCTTTCAGCTGCATGCACTTCTGACTTGTGTGAAAATAATGTCTGGTTTCTCACCACATTTGGTGTTGTTCTGTAGTAATTCATCTGATAGAAAACTCCAGATTCTAAAATAAGAATTATAGGATTGCAGATATCTAGAGTTGTAGTAATTTCAGAATTTTATCAACTTAAAGAACACAACCAAAGTGCTTGATATGGACTTAAACATTTTCTGCACCAATAAGGTGGCTTTTGATTGTCTTACTAAGGGATTTAACGTTCAAGAGTTTTTACATTTCGTGGCTGGTTTTGAAATTCTGATCTGTTAGTTTCACTGTGTATTATTTGGTGTTTGATTTGTTTTGAGGCATAGCATCAACCTTATTTAGAGCTGCTTGTACGTCCTGTGTGCGGTCCTAATATTGGTTCACCAGAAGGCTGAAGGATCTTTAGAAAAATGAGCTTTTGTTCGGAGTCAAATCCTAAATGTTTTCATTTTCCTTAACTGTTATCCAGCAGTAAATCTTCTTATTTCTCTTTATCAAACTCGGGCTAAGTGACATCCTGTGTTTACAGAATAGGGGACGCGCACTTGATGAGGAAGCAATCGAGAAAATGCTAACTGACCTCTCTCTAATTAAGAAATTCGAGTAGTCTCATTATTCAGATTGTCTTGCTATCCTGATGCAGTCTGCTTCCAGTATGTAGCTTCTCTGTCTCTGTACTTTTGGTGACCAGCTGTGTAATGCAAATGGTGCTGTGGCATTCTTAGCTGATTGACAGAGAGAAGACCAGACGACTCTGTCCTCTCTGGACATTTTATTCTTTTGGAAGCTGGTTTTAGAACAATCCTCTGGTTTCAGAGACCAACCCGTTGTTATTTGCACTAAACTATACAAGGTTCGCTGTTTTTGCTTTTGTGTGAGACAAATTAAAGCGTGCTTCTAAAATTCTCTCCTTTCTAAAGTTGTGTTAGGAAACTCCCTAGAATGAAGCCCCACCCCCTCTTTTTCTCCTTTTAACGGAGGCCTCGCCTCGCTTCCTATTTATTTGGTGAAAATAATTATGTTGGAATTCCGACACATTATAAAATTCCAATACATTATGCTGGAAGCTCATATGTAAAAAAATCCAAACTCCATCATATTATGTTAGAATATTTTCGAATTTTGAGGATGTTTTTTTTCCCAGATTTTACCTTTACATGAAAAAGTTGCAAAATTTCGATTAACTTTTAAAACTGTGATTATTTTTCAATTACCAGTTGTAAATCTGGCTATTTTTTTTTTATTTTTTTCCCCATTTATTTGCGAGTCTGGATCGAAGCTTTTTCATTTTTCAATCCATAGCCCCAGTGACTCACACAGCCTCTTTCTCGTCCTAATAAATAAAATGGGATGAAACAAAATCAATGAGTTTTTGATTGATCCACAGCGCAATCAAGCCGCCTTGATTGGAAAATAGAGACCTTGGAAGCCGTCGAGAACAAGTTGCATAAGTCAAACTCAATCAAGCAACTGTGTATGGGAAAAACACAGGAGTATATAATTATGTACATCTTGCCCTTCAAAATAACAATAGAAAAAGTAAAGAGTAAACACCACTTGATTTGCCACCCGTCTCATCTGCCTTTTTGTGTAATCACTTGCAAGCCAATACACAAAACTCTAGATAAAAAACTTAGCAAGAAAAAAGAATGAAATCACAAAAAGCTTTTACAAGATAAAGCTCTAGTGCGTACAAAGATAGGAAGGCTCCTTATGCGATCACAAGTCATACATCTAAACATTACAGAAGTAAAGGCACCTTGAAAATGATTAATCAATATACATATTCAACGTTTACTCAAAACTGTGTTAAAAGTGAACATGCAGTGCTACTGGATCCAAAAAAGATTTGGTCAAGTAACTGTCCAACAATTTCTAAAGAAGATTACAAAGGAGGGTTCATGTAAGATTAAAGAAAACAGTTGTATTCATCAGCACTATCTAGAATGGGCCGATTTACATCTATATTATCATACATATGTACGGCTTGGACCAAATGATAACATCCATCCCTCCTATTTTATTGAAGCAGGCTACCTTCAGTGTTGCACTTCAACGTATTAGGGTTTACCACATATCCAATAAGATGCAAACCATATATCATTGGTGTTGGCAGGAAGTTCACCTGCAGCAGGGAAAAATTCATTGTAATAGACAGATAACGTTGTTTATCCACACAAAATAAAAAAACAAAAATTATGTTAGCATGTAAGGAACTGCAAGAAAAATGCAGATAATATAAGCTTCCTTCAGCTAGCTGATTAGAAGAATTCAGGTTTGTACTGTATAGTGCTAAAAGGAAGTCATAGGAAGACACCAAAAACTTCTGTCTTTGGTGTTAGTAAGACCACTTCAAAAGGGCTTGATATTGGTCAGAAAATAATAACCGTATAGATGGACAAGTTCTTCATGATGGTGAAACTAACCAAGCTTTGGAAACTGTGATCAAAAGATTTTAGCTTTAGCATTTATCAGTGCCTTATCAACTTATCCAAGAACTGTCTGGTCACAACAATTCACTACGAAAGTAAGAACTTTCAAAGAAAACCATCAGGAGCAATTCTGCAAACTACTTCTATTCCTAGCATATAAGCGACATAGTTTAGCCAAAGCTTCTTAGAAGTTCAAAATATCCATGATATAAAAATGGAATCTTCCACAAAGTTATTAGGCAGTGCACTGCAGAACCTACGGACAAGGGAAGAGCAGTAATTCAAAGTCTGAAAGGATGTCCGTAGATAAACGAATTCAAGACACATAGTAAAGTTGTCACAAGGGCAAAGATCACAGATTTGTTTAAGGGGGCACAGAGCAAGAGGAGGATCGCTAAATTCCCCCATAAGATTGTAACTGCGTGTTAGGTTGAAAAGCATATAAATCAATCTAGAGGAAGCAGTATTATGCATCGAACATGCAAATTGCTACCAAACAACTCATTAAGAAACCTTTCCTGCCCCGCCTTCTTTTTTCTTTTCTTTTTTAAATTTACTATACTCATGATATAATATACAAGCTCAATTTTCTAAATGCCCTAGGCCATTCGGGGAAAAAAGGCCAAAGAGAACCCCACTACTGCTGAAGAACAGTAATCACATCATTGGGTTCTCTACTTATTTATCACCCAGCAGCAACTTTGAAGTCCTTTAACAGGAAAAAATGTATATAAAGAAAACCATTCTAGACCATACTCGTAAAAGCAGAAGGGCTTTTCTCAAGAGGCTACATCCACAACAAGGTTCTCAGGGTTCATAGAGGGCACAGTCAGATTTGATCCCTAAACAACTGCTGAAGGATGAGGGCTCACACCATGTAAGCTACTTCAAAACCCATACTCCTCCATTGATAGTCCGGTCATGCCATCACCACCATAGATAAAAAACTCAAAACATAATAAAGAAAAATATAAAGGGAAAAAACGGCTCCTGGAAAGCAAAAAAACATTTAGCTAAAGCAACTGTACTACATAAACCAACTTTTTTTCTTTTTCTTTTTCAAAACATTTTTGGGGTGGGACCACTAGCCTACTACTCATATCCCCATATAAATCAACTCAATTGTAAGGTTTCACACTGGTACTAGATTGATTATAATATCATCTACCATCCTCTTCAGACACCATACATCAAATTCTTGTTAATTGAAGGTCTCTTCTCTCCATATTTTTTATTGCTAGAATAATATTTATTAATTTCGTAGCACCAACAAGGTAATAACATGCTACAAAGTGATTGGGAATTCTAAGGCTTCACAATTTACATATGAGAGTCCAAGAACTCTAGCATGTGTTCCAAGCCTCCCAATGCACTTTTATATACCAAAAATACAAGTTTTGGTGGTGCATCTGAAATTTACAAAGATAAGGATAAAGTTTATCCTCAAAATAGCAATGGTTTCTTTATACCGACACTGACCAAAATATACATCTCATAATAGAGATACCTTCTAGTCATGTCGATCACGTAACAATTAAGGTCAGTCAATTTACTCAATGCTATACTGCTATACCAACTTGCTCGACACAACAACGCTTTTCTGTGTCAATCAGTATACACTTGACATACAATAGGCAGCTCCTATCATCAAATCTAGCAGCACTAGGTGCTAAGAGCCCTGAAGTCATTGGGGACTACAAAGCCATCAGCATATAATATTCATGGAGAAAACTTCTCTTTTTGTCTAAATTTCTTTCTACCCTTGTTATAGGTTTCTCTTTTCTTTCTTTTAATTTATTTGGGTTTTTTTTTTTTTTTTT